TTTGACACTATTGATTTCCATTTTGAGATGTCTAGGTTAAAGCTTGAAATGGTTTCCAGTATGGGTTGAATGCCAAAGGTTCCACACCTGCTGAGGTGCTGAGAATAGACTACAAATCAACACTAAAGCCTGCACTTGCCTCCTTTGCTGATGACATAAAGAAAAGCTCAATGGCAAAGCTGGAAGAGTTGATATCTCTTCAGCAACAGTCGGTTGAAAATGCTGTTAAGATTGAGGCCAAACGGAATCGTATTGCAGCCCTTCAATCCCATATCGAAGAAGTAAGTTCAGTGCTAGTGGCTCTTTAACTAATCATACTAGCTTGTAGTATAATAGAAAATGAAATTGGTGCACATTGTTATTTCTTCTACATTTTATTTTGATGGCATATACTTGACACAAAATTAGTACTTGACTTTCTTAACTGACCTTGGTCTTAAAAAGGAAGAAGTATAAGAACATGAAATTTAAAAAAAAAAAGGGCAAAAAGAGGTGAATGATATGTTCCACTGGCCATAAATTCCTCTGTGACCTATAGACATGGTCAGCTGACATGATGAATGATAGCTTCCACTTGCCCTAAATTTCTCAGTGACCCATATCCAGGGTCAGAGGACATGCAGATGCATCAGGTTCTCAGTGAATTTGTGTTACTGAAAGAGGGCTGAAATATGTGTGCATATTGATTATATACACTTGGCATATTAATAAATAGTTCCTTTTCACCCTTCCTGATAGTCAAAGCTTCACTTCAGCAATGATTTTTTGGAAGTTTTTGTAGTGCGTACCAAAATTTTAAGTTCTTATTGTTATGCGGTATTTCGACACTTCTCGGAAGAAGAAACTTCCAATGGTAAGCTTTAGTGCTCTGTTCACTGCAATCACAAAAGACATACTGGTTGGAAATTGGAATCCTGTTGTCAACCTATTTGTGTTAATTGTTTTCTTGAATTGTTATGACTTCAGTACAGGGGAGAGTTTTGGTAATTCAACCATTTTATTTTTTTTTAGGACTCGAAATTTAATCTTTTAGTTAGGACTTAGGAGATCTGAAACAATCAAATTCATTGTCTCGTTGATCGGTTGGGATTTGAAATGGAATGGGTGATGGGAGAATTGTGTTCTTCTGTAGAATGCAAAGTTCTTCCAACCAAAACAGATTGGAGGATTACCAACTACCAAGTGACTGATATTTATGGTAGTACCACATTCATACGCTGTACCCTATCTGAGAGGCAATAATTTATGTCTTTTGACGATGTGTGAAAGGGTTTATTAGGCAATTGCTGCTGATTGTTACATTTTTATTTTTATTTTTGTTGGGGAGGGGGAGAGGGGGAGGGAGACCTGAACCCTTGACCGCCTTTATAAGACAAGGAGTATCATTGGACCAAAGTAAGAGTTCTTTACATAAGAGTTCTTTAAATGGCAGAATAAAAACTATGGGAAATTGATAGTTGGAAGGTGACATTTGGTCACTACAAGGAGATAGGACATGCAAGTCTAAATTAAAGCTATTAACACACTATGGTTTATAGACTGCAAATGGGAGTTAGGTTTGGAAAGAAAATGTAAAAACAAAACTAGCATGCTTTGGGCCAGAATTAGGGTTGTAAATCAGCCAAGTTGAGTCTGGTAGTTCGCTCAAGCTTGGCTTGAAATTTAAACGAGCTTTGAATATAGTTCAAGCCCAAACTAACCTTTTTCGGTCGACTTCAAGAAGGTTGACTGGTTATATTGTTTTTCGACCCTAATTGGCGTGTCAACCACCCGAATTCAAGCCAAGTCAAAAAATCAATGATGTTAAAAATATGCTTATGCTTGGCTCGTGTATCACATGAGCTGATCTGGAACGAGTTTTCATGGATCAATTTTGAGTCAAGCCCGAGTTGTTCGTTTCATTTTACTTCACCACCCAGAACGGGTTTCTATCCAAAATCTCGATCTTCCGTATTTAATGAAATGTATGAAATCTCTTTAAACTGCAATAAAATGAACAGCTAAACCGCTTGTGTTATTGGAATTTCTGTTCTCATATGTAAGGCATTTAGAATGGGTCCTGAAGCTTAAATTATTGGGTTGCACACTTTAAATGTCTATATGTTTTTTATTTCTATTACATGTTCAGTGGATTGATTTTCAGAAAAAGTGGATAAAAAAGGAATCTTTTTTGAAGTATAGGTTGCCTGATGTTAATCTTTAACTTCATTGCATTGCCGATCATTTTGTCAGGTGGAAGCTCAATTGAACTTAATGAGGAAGGAGACACAGGACTATGCTTCCAGATGCGTAATAGAAGCTAGAAAGTTGGTAGAAGATAGTGAAGCAGAAACTCGTAACATGGATGTTGTTGAAAGAGAAGCGGCAGAGTTTTTGAAGGTATGGCCTTGGTCCTGTCTCTTTGCTCAAACAGTTATAAATTGAGAGGCGATGAGTATGTCGATGTCCAAGGAGATGTTCTGATTGGAATATAAAAAAGTGGGGAATTTCTTCCTTTTGAGAATATTGTTTCCAATGTTAAGGCAATTGTCTTTTGATTGGAGCTACAATGCTTGTCACATTCTCATGAACTTTTGTTTTTTGGTGTAAGGCATCCAAACTGAAGTTGCAGGAAACAACTACACAGACAGAGGAAGAAGTTCAGGCATGCGCTCGTGAACTTCTTGCGCTGATTGATTCGGTTTCAAAATTCAAAGAGTATGTGGAGTCAAAAATCTCAGAGATGAAGAATGCTCTTTCAGAAACAGCTGGTGCTGTATCTAATGTTCAAAGGGAGTCTTTGCCTGCACAGTTTGGTTTTGATTTTGCCGCAAGCCGCTGAATCAAAGTCTTGTTGTACATTAGTTGGTACAACCTGTGAATTGTTTGTCTTTTCTTTTGCCTGAGGGTGTATTTATTTTTGATTAATCAGAAATATATGTTTCCGTGTAATGGACGATTAAACTTGATAGAAATTGACAAAATAACATTGAGTCATGTTTCAACAAGATTTACCATCGTTGGTATATACATCCATAGGAAGTTTAGAATTACAATGGCTGTCATGTCCTCTCAAGTACAATGATTATAAGACCATCTATCCTAGAAGTACTAAGGCCAACCATGACTCAATTTTTGGGGGTTTTGAGACTTTGAGATACACAATGAGAGTGAACTCGAGTTTTCACTTATTCGTTCGTTAAAATAGTGAAGTGGTTTCGTAATTAAAAAGATCTTATATCAATTCAAATTTGTGGTTATATTCTCTTTTATTGCGATTTGAATTACTCCATAAATGGGTATTAACACGAACTCTTTGATGTTTTAAGTCTCCTTTGAATTTAATATTGGTGTGTAGTATTACTAGCAATAAACTCGTGTGTTGCATTAGATATAGATCCACCTTATCCTAGCATCTCTATCCTTTCCCCGCGTCTCACTTGGTTAATTTGCTTGGCGGTGATAAAAAAAAGAACAAATTCGGAGTATGAGATACTAAAAGATTTAATTGAGAAACTGAAGAAAAGTGGGAAGTTGTAGAGTGGTTATACTACTAGAATATGAAAGAATTTGATTGTGGTAAAGTTTGATAAAAGTTTAAAAATAAAATAATTAATTATTTATGGAAGAAAGGCTTCCCAAACTCTTCACCCGCAATTTGATTCCTTTACATAATAGATAGATATATACAAAGGAGACAACCAATAGAGGCATACCTTATTCATGTATGGTCATAGCCTTATACAAACCTATTGAGTTAGTTGTATGTATCAAAATTTTGAAATGTTTCATACGAAACATCTAACATGTGTTTAAATTTTATCTAGATGAAATAGAATTTAAAATTGCAAAGCTTCACTCGAAAATGTAAATGGTTCTTGCCATTTTTAAATAAATGAGAATGACACACTCAACATTTCACTTAAGGCAAAGTAATATTCTTTTGTGAGAGAAAAGCTATAAGGATTTTTATAATTGAAATACTTTTGTGAGTCACATGAATCCAATTGGTTGAGGTTGAGGTTGAGGTCTATGTTGCCAATTGACATTGAGCTTACTTGAAGAATGGATTGAAGATCAATGGAGATGTTCAAGCTAAACTCATGATAATCATACACCTGTTTGGTTTGGTAAGTAGATGTAGATACCTATACACATTATACTTATTTTCAAAATGTAAGTTAATAATTTAAGAATTTTATAGGGTGCAAAGTGTCATTTGTCCTAAAAAATAATAAACATGGCCAAGGGGAGTACTGCAAGTAGCAAATGCAAGCAAGTTAAGCAACAAAAGGAAATAGGGTTCAAAGCAAAACACCAAAAGCCTCGGTACACACACACACACAAAACAGAGCCTCCTCTGCTATATTCTCTATCTTTCTCTCTCTCTAAATCTCCTTGCACAGATAATCTTCTTCCCTTCCACGGCGTAATCTACGTGGTAGTGCGTTCTACGGTGTTTAGCTCTCTTCCTCTGACTCACGACTATATACATAGCGCCTCCCACTAAAGGCTTGTCACACAGTGCACATACCGTTTCTGTCTATCTCTCTACCAACAGCAATTGAAACTTTGGCTACCTCTGTCTAGAATTTCCTCCCACAGATATCCATACGCTGAATCGCACTGCTTAGAAGTAGAAAACACCAAGCGGCGAGAGCCAAACCATTAGGGTTTGGTTTTGTTCAGGCTTTGGCTTTGTTATATTGGATTATTATCAATTCCAAGGTTCAGGGTTAGTCGATTTTATCTTTCTCTTCGATTCGAGGGTTTGAATTTCTGTGTTTCCTGTACTGGGTATGAATTTTCCTTCAAGAAGTGCTCTGTTTTGGCCATCTTTAGTGGAGGGATAGGTTTATATTTTGGGTATTGACTGAAGTTCTAATTACTGAGATGAGGGTCTTCTAAGTGCGTTTTTACTGATAATTGAGGAATCTGGAAGCCCTTCTTGAGCTTGTTCTGGGGCACTGAAAGAGCATAGTAGTTTGTTTCTTCCAATTGAATGAAGTTTTTCATGTTTGACTTGGCAGTATATAGTGCATAGGGAGAATAGACCCTTGTTACCTTGTACAGGACACTTCATATTCTTTTATTCAAAGTGGTTTTTGAAGCATAAGATTTGCAAGATTAAATTCAGAACACTAGTTACTTAGTTACGTGGTTTGGTGCACGGAGAGGTTTTGGGGTAAAGAACAACTGAAATTGGATTAACATTTGGATTGACTTTGTATGCACACATTTTGATTTTGTTGGTTTTATGGGGTGGATGCTGACCATTAATACGAGGAGGGAGATATTAAGCTTTAATACACGGAGGACAAGTTGCTTTTTTTCTGTTCTGTTATATACTGATCATGTTTGGTACTAGTTATGGAAAGAAGTGAGCCATCATTAGTTCCAGAATGGTTGAAAAGCGGTGGAAGTGTAACTGGTGGTGGCACTACAGCCCACCAATTTCCGTTATCTTCATTGCACCCAGGTAATTCTTATGAACTTTATTATGCAAGCTCTTTGTTTCTAATTGTATGCATTTTAACTTAAGTTTGAATTAGTGACTTGCAATGTTTTCCTTGTTAGTTGACTTGCGATATTTTTATTATAGTAGATGATCATCACACTGTATCAAAGCCTGCAAGAAATAAGTCATTAGTAACTACTAGAGATCATGATCTTGGACGTTTGGATCGTGCCACTTCCTCTTATTTCCGTCGGAGTTCCAGCAGTAATGGTTCTGCTCACTCGCGAACTTACAATAATTTTGGTCGGAGTCACCGTGATAGGGACTGGGATAAGGATATATATGGCTCTCGTGATAAAGAAAAGTTAATTTTGGGTGACCACAAGCAACGAGACTATTCTGATCCCTTAGGGAGCATTTTGCCAAGTAGGCTTGAAAAGGAGGTGTTAAGGCGTTCACAGTCGATGATCTCAGGCAAAAGTGTTGAGCCAAAAGTTGCAACTGACTCAAGCAGTGCCAATAAAAACCACCACAGCAACAGCAACAGCAACAGCCTGCTTGGTGGGGGCAGCCCCATCAGTGGTGTGAACAAGTCTGCATTTGAACGAGACTTTCCATCTCTTGGAGCCGAGGAAAGACAAGCAGCACCTGAAATAGGAAGAGTCCCATCTCCTGGCTTGATTACTGTCATTCAAAGCTTACCAATTGGTACCTCGGCCGTGATTGGCGTTGATAAGTGGACATCAGCCTTGGCAGAGGTGCCTGCAGTAGTTGGAAGTAGTGGCACCAGTGCCTCATCTGTTCAACTAGCCGGTCCTGCAAATTCATCTTGTGGGGCTTCAGGCACAACGGCTCTCAATATGGCTGAAACTTTGGCCCAGGGTGCTCCTCATGCTGAGACAACTCTGCAGGTAGCTTTATTGCTCTATTGTTTGTTCAACATAACATGAAATGTATTTTATTCTTATTTGCCGTCTTTGTTTGTTATTAGGTGTCTATTGGAACTCAGAGGCTTGAAGAGCGCGCTATTAAGCAATCTCGCCAATTAATTCCTATGACACCATCCGTGCCTAAAGCTTTGGTAAGAGTCGTTGCCTCCCTTATTTGAGGTTGTAATAGGTTTGATGCCAGGTTTTTATATTGTGGCTCAACTTGTTACAAATAATTGTTTGAGGATAGTTGTCTTTTTATTTTTTCTTGTATTCTTTGTGGATTTTGTATAAACAATGCTTTTTTGGATCAGTGTTCATTTTCATTTTCCTACATTTCATAACATAGGAGTCTTAGTTAAAGTGCTCAGCCATTTTAGTTGTGTGATGAATTCTGAACAATGGATGATGCTTATCCTTCATGTCCTTTTTCTTATGTCTTTATTTTATTTTTTTACTTTTGCACATGACTTAGACAAATTTGCTTCAGAATCTCCATGTACGTAGCTATAATGCCGTAAACATTTGACTAAAGTGATGGTATAACAATTGATTTATTAGTATTTATTGTTTTAGTTCTTATGTCTTATCAATCTTTGGATTAGTTTCTAAGATCTTTATATTTTTTTTGGGACGCTTTTCTATAGTATTTAAGGGATGGTGTAATTCCCATTTTGAGCAAATCTATTGATTTACTTGATGTTGCATATGTCCAATTTATTTAGCATTTCCTTTTGCCTGTGGTTTTATTTTGGATTGTTAAGACTTGAAAGATATTTGGCCATATGTTTGGTTGGTTGTTGGAGTTGAATATGGGATTTTTTTTATGGAGTAGATTGTAGTATGGGTTTAGGGTGAGATTGTCTTTATTACCAACATAGTTATGTTTTGCAGCTTCTGTCAACTTGGATTCACTTTATCAATTATGGAAGATGCACTTTCTTGATAAGAATCAAGGGTATAAAAAGAAGAGCATTAGCAGAGGATTTATAAAACAAAGGGAGGGTTTAAGTTATATCTCCATCTTTTTTGCACCGAGCCTTAGTATAATATACATTTTAACGTTTCGTTCCTCTCTATGTATTATATCTAATGTGGATTTATTGCAACTGGTGAGATATATTTTTAGTTAACTATAGAGCACATTTTTTGAGGAATTTTCTTCTATTTATTTATCCTCTCGTAGATTTTCTTCCAGCATTGTTAATTATATTTAGGGAAAGTTATGAAATATCTCCTTATGGTTTGATCCATAGCATATCACCTCCTTATACATTGAAAATGTACACATAACCTCCTATGGTTTTGGATCAAATTGAACCGACAATTTTTCCACACAAATTTATAGATGGTGAGGAAATGACTCATTTACCCTTATTTAGACGCCCCGTTATTCCTTAATTGGATAAAAATAATTCTTACTCGTTAATTGGATTAATTTATTCCATAAGTAAACATTCTCATCGTCAACCTCATTTCATGCAGAAGACCATTACACAAATTGACCGTAAACATCATGCAAGACAACATTGGTGATCAAGCATTTCTAAATTTTAAAATAGTTACCAAAAGTTGACTAATCAAAATTGTGTTCATCATTATACTAGAAAATCAAAGAAGTTGTATTGATGGCATGAAACAAACCCACAAAGCATTGCCCTAGGAATTTGTCTAACCCTCTCTCTCTCTCTTAATTGAAGTGCTCCCAAAGTTCTCAATTTTCCTCTCCATACCCTCAACTCTCGAACTAAAAAATTAACTTTAAATTTCAAGTTTTCCATTGTAAACAGTGGTCAGATGGTAGTGGAGATGTTGGTGGAGTCACCCACAAGCTTTGAGCCAAGAATTTGATGGAAATAAGAGGTTGGGAGGGAGATACATTGTGTCTGCAATGTGTGTGCGTATTGCACATGTGTGTGTGTTTGTTTTTTTCGATAAAAAAAACAATTTTATTGATAATCAAGAGATTAATAGAATCAAACAAGTGTGGACAAGCAAATCCGCCACAAAAATAGACAATGAAAACATAAAACATTGAACAATTACAAGCCACGCGATGCCTTCCAACTTGCCTTAATACAAAAGAAAGGGATATCTTCAAAATCCTTAGAAATTGAGGCCCAAAAAGATGACAAAAAATAAATTCGATCTCATAAACCCGTAAGCTCTTCACTCTTATCCTAAAACATCCTCACATTCCTTTCTTTTCAAATCACCCAACGTATAACAAAGAGAGCACTATTCCAAATAGTCTTTCATTACTATTCCTTTCAAATCCCACATTTTCCATGCAAAACATAGAGACCATAATCCTTGGAGCTATCCAAGAAAAGCCTACAAGATCAAAAAGCTTGTTCCAAAGTGTTCATGTCAAAGGGCAATACAAAAAAAGGTGACCCAAAATGGATCTAATTGGACTTTATGCTCTGCGTTCTTTACGTCTTTTGGTCCACCACCAGATCTTGGCTAACCAACATTCTCATTTTCACTTCTACACATAATACACTATTGTGGTTGAAGGCAATGATTTGGTCCCCTCTTTTGAAGAACCTCATTAGTACTAATCTTTGCATGAGAAATTATCCATGTATAAACCTGCACCTTCACCTTCCAAATCTTTATAGATGGACCGAAAAAAGGAATTAAAGGATTATCAATTAAAGACTTGAAAAAGATTTATAAGAAAAAGCCTATGTAGAGGTATCAATCCAATATCTCCTATCCTCAAAGTTTCGAATCAAAGAAACACTATTAAGCATAGATAAGAGAATCATCAATTCTAAACATTCCCTATCATTGAGATTCCTACCAAACCCAAAATCCCAATAAATCGAATTAGAATATGATTGAACCATAGATGCACTCAATCGACTTTAATAGTCAGAGACACGATACACTTGTGGAAAAAGAGTAGAGAAAAAAACACTCCCCAACCCATATGTCCTCCCAAAAACGCACTTTAGTTCCATCACCCATAATGAACTTGACTTTCTAAGAAAAGTAAAGGAAATCCTAAAAAATGAACTTTCACAGACTTTGGAAAGTGCCCCATTACCAATTCCATTCTTGGGTTCCAACTAAGAAATCTAGTCATGCAGTTACTGAGACAAAGCAAAATTGACTTGGCAATGGAGGAGAAGAAATGAGATGGGGAGAGACACTCGTGTAATGTGCGTCTGCATATGTGTGAGAGAGATAGAGGGGTACCACTGTGTACATGAGGGCAATTTGGGTACTCAAAGTAACACCTTTGGATGAAGCATCTCTCTTCCAATCTCACATTATTATGCATGTGAGTGTGAATCACATCCCGTTGATTTGGATGAAAAAAATTAACGATTTCAAGGGGGTAATGTTTTATATGGCCAAACCACGAGGAGGTAATTTGTAATTTGCCCTTTTAATTGTTGTTGTTCTGTTGTGACTTCGAAGTGAATTTTGGGTTTGTAAGAGGGGAATTTATATTCGATAGGATTTTTCTTCCATTTGTGACCTTCTCCAATTTCTCGTGGCCACAATATTTGAGATAATAAAATTTGTGAGGACGGAGGTCATTCTTGAACAAGCAATGAAAGGTGGGAAGAGCTAACTATGAAATGCTCCATGAGAAATTATGAGGGTCTACCACTTTCTCTTTTCAGTAAAATATCTTTGGTTTTGCCTTTTTCCCTTCTTATTTCCACACGTAGAATTGTTGCCTTGTTTGATTATCTTTAACTGGATTCCAAAAATTAAGGGTTTTAAGGCATTTCCTTCTTTCCTATTATATATTGGTGGGAAACATTGGAATTGAACATTTTGAAATCTTTTCTTTAAGGTATTGGAGGGAAACTTTGGAGGTTCAAAACTTTCTCACCACATTTTAGAAGTATCGCATAATGTTTCCTAAAAAGGTGGAACCACAAAAGGGTCTCTTCTTGTGGAATAGGGTGGATAAAAAAACTGTTCCCTTTATCATATCATTTGCCCCTTCATAACACTCGCCACACCTTCAAACCCCTGCCCCCTCCCGTCTTCCTCTCCTCTTTTCCAAAGAAAGAGGAGAATTTTTTTTTGTTTACAACATGTAAATATCAATTAAGCAGTTGTAGTGATCCTCATCATTGTGTGTGTGTCTGCTTGCAGCTAAAAGCATTTTGTTCTCCAAAAATGTGGATACAGTCAAGGATATGAATGATTGTAACTGTATGGTTTTACTTCCAGTACTTGAAAATAACTAGAAAAGGATTATTGAAGCATAAAATGTACACAAGTGAAAAATATAATAAATTAGTTGTTTTATAGACACATGCTTGTATATATGTATATTTATGGTGGTATCTCGTGTTTTGATTTTATGGAGTGGTTGTGTGAGAAAGCATATCTGTGATGACTCTTGACACGTGTTTGTATATACAGGATTGGGTTCCAACTTGTTTTCAATTTTTCTTTCTGAATAATGGTGAATTTAATGGTCACTAACTAAAGGAATGTGAAGAGAGTATGTTAATTGAAATTAGGAAGTCATATAATGGCATAGTCGAGAGTTATGGGTAGCAGATATCAAAGAATTTATTAGTCTGGTAAAACTAACTAGTGTATTCTTCCTCTTTAGCTTATATGGAGAGCCAGAGACATTGCTCTATCAAAAACTAGTTTAGAGTTGAGAACTGGGGATTTATGCCATGCACTGTAATTGTTCTTTATTCTGGTTCCTCACCTGTCATTCGGGTAGTTACATTTAGGATTTCATGCACTTTTTAATTGAGAGCCTTTTTTCGATGGTGAAGTTCTTGGTGTTTCTTCTATGTACTAATGGGAAATTCTTTTTATTTGTTTTGTTGTGTCAAAGTTGACATTAGTTTACCGGTTGAGGACCCATATTTTAGTCATATTCCATTGTGATATTGAACAAATATTATTGCAAGCTATATTAGTTGTGTTTTATTGAGAGAGATTATGAGATTCTTTTTCATGTCATTCATAGATATGGAAGAGCATAGTTGTATTTGGTTAAGGGTAGAGAGAGAGATGGGGAGGGGATGATTAAGTGGATGCTGGTGGGATGGTTGTTAGAAAGCATCAATAGTAATACAAATCTATCCTGTCGAATTTGAAATTGTAAGGGTCTAAGGAGCAAAGGGTTAATAATGTCAATGACTGGGCACAGAACAAGGCATAGACAAAGTTGTGGTGGTGGGCTGTTGAGAGAGACCAAGTGGAATGAAATTGTAATGGATAAACTATAATTTGTATTCCTTTATATAATTCAGGACACATATTTAGTCTGCTTTTTCTATACTTTTGGGGATGGGACTTTTCTTTTTGCTGTTTATGTTAAAAAAAGCTGCAAAAAAGTCAACTTTTTTTATTTGGAAAAAGGTGAAACAATATTTTGCGTTTTGTCACACTGCCTGGCTGTGGGGATGCTTTTTAAATGAAAATATCCCAATTTCCATGCTTGTACTGTTCACCCCTTTTTTTGTTGAATTTATTGATCAGGTACATTTTTTGGATGTCAAATAGAGTAGTCTTGGTCAGGTGATATCAGATTGTAAGAAATTGATCCTCCAATTTGAAGCCTGTAGAGTGAAGAACAAGTTTCTTTCTTGGTTCCATGTATGGAATATAGATTTGTGTGTTTTTGACTGATCATTGCGAGTTTTCTTTTCAGGTGTTGAATCCTTTAGAGAAACCAAAGCCTAAAGTTGGGCAACAGCAGCATCAGACCTCATCTTCTCACCTTGTTAGTCTCTCTCCTCGTGGTGGACCTGTGAAATCTGATGTTTTAAAGACGTCTAATGTGGGAAAACTTCACATTCTCAGACCAGCACGAGAGAGGAATGGTGTCTGTCCGGCAAAGGACAGCTTGAGCCCAACAAGTGGTAGCAAAATAGCAAATAGCCCACTTGCTATTGCTCCATCAGTTGTTGGATCTGCTCCATTACGGAGCCCAGGCAACAACCCAACACTTGCCATTGCAGACTGCAAGCCTGCTCTGGGAACGTTGGAGAAGAGACCAACATCTCATGTTCAGAGCCGGAATGATTTCTTCAACCTTGTGAGGCAGAAATCTATGACAAGCTCCTCTTCTGCTGTTGCTGATCCTAGCCGTGCTGTGTCACCTTCTGCCTTGGATAAGCCTGGCGAAACAGAAGCTCCATCTGCCTCTGCTATTCCTCAGAATGGAGATGCTCCATTGCCAGATAGATCTACTAGCAGCCAATCAATTAAGAGGATGAGTGAGTTGGCTTCAAATGGTTATGCTTGCAATGGGCCTCAGAAATCTCTCAACAATGGAAAAAGTCATTCTACATCGGATGCTATCATTTGTTCGGAGGAAGAAGAAGCTGCATTTTTGCGTTCTCTGGGGTGGGAGGAAAATGCTGGAGAAGACGAAGGGCTTACAGAGGAGGAGATCAAAGCTTTCTATAGGGATGTAAGTAAGGTAACTGCTTTCTGAGAACAGGAGACAACTAGGAGTTCACATATGCTTTGTCAAATATCAATTTTTTTGTTTGACATTTTGTTGTTAATCTTATTTGGAGTTGCTTAAATACTTGAAATTATTTCCCAAATCCCAACAATATATTATCCATTTATTTTTGTGCAGCACATCAACTCGAGTTCATCTTCGAAAATTCTCCAAGGAATGCAGCCAAGGTTTTCAGTGCCACTCAACTCACAAATGGGTAGTGTTGGTGGCATTTCATCTGGGTTAAGCTCATCTGACTCTAAGCTGGAATCTTGAGTTACTAAACCTCTGACTGGGTTTCATAAGTTCTTAATTGATTTCGGGGAGGGTTCTGTTTTCACTTTTTCTTTTTATTTTTTTTGGCTGCTTGTTTCTTGATTGATAAATCTAATACTGAGAGGAAATTTTGAGGAGCCAATTGGGCATGAAAAGAAGGGGAAGTTGGGATTCTGATATCATTGCCGTTTGGTGGAAGTGAATGAGAATAAGTCACAGATGGTTGAGTCCTTCCCAGAATGACTTGTGATATGATGTGCCTGGTTCTTGACAGAATAGGAATAGTTTATATAAAGCTGCTTAGGGAAATTGCTAGTGCAAAGTCTGGGTTTTTGTCCCTTTTCTTTTTTGTTTTTGGAAGTTGATTGGCTCGACAAATTGGTTATGGTTTCTTTCGTCATCTAAAGAAAAGAAAGAAATGGAAAGGTCACATTTCTCTTTACTTATTTTCTTCTATCGACTTCCATGACCTTTCTGCAAGTATCCACGTTTCTATTCTTTTTGTGTGAATGAAACCATCTCGGGCAAAACCCTAAACAACCTAAATCAAACCCATCCATATCAATGGCGAAACGAACCCTACCCATCCTCGAGCAACTATGTGCTCGATCACTTGCCCATGTCCACCCTCTTTTACGGTTAACCTCAACCAGATTGGTGACCTATATGCCCGGACGGATCTCCAAGGCCCGTTACTCTGATACCGGGCGACGGAAGGAATTGGTTCTCTGGTCACCGGCGCAGTCGAGCAGGTCGTGGAGGCAATGCACGCGCCTGTATACTTCGAGAGCTACGATGTCCACGGCAACATGAAGAAAGTCCCTCAAGAACTGATCGATTCGATCCGCAAGAGCAAGGTGTGCTTGAAGGGAGGCTTGATTACTCCGGTTGGTGGTGGTGTGAGTTCGCTTTGCAAAGTACCTCCCACGCCAATCCCACCTCTACAATTTTCAATTCTTTGCAAAGTAACTACCCAAGGTCCCAAAAAAAAAAATTATTTCATAATTTTTGATAATTGAAAAAGAAAGGTTACAATGTCAAATATTAATTCTATACTAGTTTAACCCTCCCGCTAACTTTGATTAACAAGAATCAAATTGGTTAAGACTTGGTAATTGATTCATTTTAAACGTGGTAGAAATGGTGATCACACTAAAAAATGTGCCCGTGACTAGTATGATTAGTAACAGGAATATCATAATGATTGTTTGAAGGGACATATTCCAATCAAAAAACGTCATATATCTATATAATAAAGTAACTTACAATTCAAATATCAAAAGATAAATAAAATGACTTTTGTTATTCACGGTTGAGATCGTTTTAAATTTTACTTTAAAGTTAATCTAACGACTAATATTAACACCCTAAATTTAATAAAAAAAATAGGCCCATAAGAATGTGTTTGGAGTGACTTTTTAAAAGTATTTCTAAAATTATTTCTAATAAATACTTTTTTTTTAAAATAATGTTTCAAATCGCCCCACCACTACCACTACCTCGACCACCATCACCGTCGCCACCGCCGCCGCCACCACCTCCGCCCACCACAACTATCACCGTCTCCTACCACCACCTCTCACCTCCACTATAAATCAATGTTTAATTAATATAAGATTGATCTTAGTTTGTTGGTGAAGATTTTGAAATTGGTAGAACAATTGTCAAATCATATTGTTTATGCATTCAATCAAACCAAATCATCTGCTGCAATGATTTTATATTTTTTATTAGTTGTTGAGAATACCCAATTTGATAGATCCACAATTAAACTATAAAATGACTGATGGTTGGTTAACAATAAGCCATTATACAGTTTTGTGATTTCATTAATTCACGCCAATAAATCTCAGGTTAGATTTTTTTAAATAAAATAATAAAATAAGATGAAAAATAAATGATAGAATTTTATACGTATTACTCTGTAATCTGCTAAAAATAAAAATAATAAATTGAAAAATGACTTTTTGATACTAAATTTTAACCCCTTAGTTACACATGAGAATTGTAAGTTAGATCTAATGATTTTATTAATCTATCGTAATTAATTGATTGGTTATGTGTTTTTCTTGCTTCTTCAAACATAGACGATTAATTTTAGAGAGTTGAAAAAAAAGTTAATCCATCAACTTTTTCATCTTTCTTATTTTTTTTTCTTATCAAATATGATATTTTATTTATCTCTCCAATTTTTTATCCTTCAAACTTTCCATCATTCTAAGTTTCAATGGTGCCAAACAAAGCATTAAAGTATTGATACAGTTCCTATTTAATCCCTGGTGTTTTGATTTGTACAACTTAATCTTTAAAGTATTGATTGTGTTTCCATGAAATGCTTTCGTCCATATTCATCCCAGACATCAACGTCGTATATTTTTTTCATTGTCTTCACTTACTACTCTAACCATATTTATATCATTGACTCTTACTTTTAACTTATATATGGTGAGGTAGACAAAGGTGTTGAGTGAGAAGGCCTTAGATCAAAAAATATTGAAAGTGAGATAAGTAAAAAAATAAAAAAAACAATTTTGATGACTTAATTGTAGATGAAATTAACTTTATTTTATGTGATGAAAGATATTTTCAAGTGGACAGTTCTTTCTTGGATTGGTATGTTTGGAGAAATAATCTATAATATAAAATAAAATAAGTTTCAATAAGTTCATTCGACGGTTTCAAATAGATTTATCCAACGGCCACCAATATCCTTCTCAAAACTATTCGTATTACACCGTGTTTTCAAGCACGAGCTACCCCTAGTAGACAAAGAAGATACATTTCAACATAAATAATTAACTTTCCATCCACTTTCCTTTTAATTTTGGAGGGATTGATTTTGGTGAGTTAAAAATAAAGTTCATCTATCTATTTTTTTATTCTTTCTATTTTCTTTTCTTACCAAACATGATGTTTTATCTATCCCTTCAACTTTTCATCCTTCTAGAAATCACAAAAGCAATGGATTTCCGCCCTCATGGCTCCATGGGATTCCCTCCTATTCGAGAGGCTCTTCACTTACTGTCTCCTAAATCATCCATTCTGGTTAACAAATTAGTGCCTGCACACACAAAAATAAAACCCTTCAGATAATCAAGCAAGCTGGTTTTGGAAGTTATGAAGTGTTGATTCAAGAGCAAAGGAAGACAGTAAAGATGATGAAGGATAAGCTATAAAGAAAAATGTAGGTCACCCGTGGAGACCTCCTAAATCAAGCCATCAAAAGATATCGAACAGGATAAGTTCAATAACAAGAAAACACGCGATACTTCCGCCAATTCAGAAATCTGACTATTTGACTATTGAAAGGCAATTAAGCTTGACCATCCCAATATCCGCGGGCACTTGAGCTTTAAGTATTGTCATATTCTGATTATAACTAAATAACAAAAACCCACTAACCTCAATTCTCTTTCGATCCTTATGCAGGAACCACCATGGGCCACTCTTTGACATTAATCTTAAAAAAAAACATAAAATACAGTTAGCTATACGACACAAGAAATGGAGCAAGGCGCCATAATATCACAAACGCACTAGAATTTCAGAACCAAGAACTAGAACAAAATTCAAAATTTCCCCAACTCTCCCTTTTTGGATTGTTGTGCATCTGAAAACTTTATCGAGCATGCCAACAAAACAAGCCCTTAATAATTAAAATTTGATACAAAAAATTTTGAACCCTAAGCATATATCGAAACTGTCGCCTCGTATTTCTTTCATATAATTTCACAAAGAAGCAATTCAATCAAAAACCTTTACGAATATACAACCTTTCTCATCTCCAACATTATCAACACTTGAAGTCAGTGAGGTTTTTTCTGAGACTAGGCTGGCAGAAATTTCTTACATAAAAATGGAAACTTGTCATAATGTTATCCAGTTTTCCTAAGCATATATCAAACAGTAACCTCAGACTATTTTAAAAGCCAATAGCAATATAACACCTTTCCTATCTGCAATCTTATATCAAAACTTGAAGACGACTAGAAAGTTGAGGTTGTACAATAAGAAAACCTTTGAAAATGGCAGGCAGAAATTTCTTCAAATTGAAAAAAAAATTGCCATAATGTTATCCAGTTTACCTGATGTATCCTGCCACCGTTCGCAACCCCATAAAGAGAGTCAAGCCACACCAAACACCGGGAAGACCAAAAATTGATGAGGCATACAGCAGAAACATGGAAGATATTGTCCCCACAAGCATCTAGAGTTCACTTCAATAATATTAATAGACACCCATATGCAATGCAATGCAACGCAACCCAATTAATGACGTGTCCAAACAGTTATTTGGCTTACCATAGAACGAGCAGCAAATGCGAAATCCGAAGCACCACAATGGAGGCCATCGAAAATAAAAGCTAAAGAATTCAAAGGTAGACTGGCGCTGACAAACTGTAATCATATTACATAACATCACAATAATAAAGATGTTCGCAGACCACACTGGAAGCCAAAGAAAAAATAAAAAATAAAAAAGCAATGATGAAACAACATTTATGATAATACATACCAACACCCCAGTTCTAACGATTCCTAATACATCTGCATCACTGGTAAACAAGGTGGCTAACGTACCAAAAGATACGCCCAAAACCAAAGCCAATGCAACCCCTGTGACTAATCCTATCTGGAAAAAGATAATGCATAAGATCACAACAAAAAATTGAACATGAGAATAAAGAATACAGCAGTATCTCAGAACGTAATCAAGAGCATAGAAGTATGGCATACCTTTAGCACAAAATAAGTGACTTCCTTCACAGTTCTGTAATCACCTTGCGATATAGAAGTGGCGATCAAGGACTACAACAGGGGGGATTTTTTTTTTTTTTGGGGGGGGGGCATCAAAGCCTGGAGTAAGAGAGGAATCATATAAACTAAAATCTGAGTGCACAAAGACTGATATAACCTGGAAATCTTTATTAAGGGAACTCACAGACCTTAGTATGTATACTTTAAAACTGTAGTGCCACTTCTTCTTTATTAAGAAGAAGAAGACTGATATAAACTAAGAGAGAGGAACCATATAAACTAAAATCTGAGTGCACAATGACTGATATAACCTGGAAATCTTTATTAAGGGAACCCACAGACCTTAGTTTGTATACTTTAAAACTGTAGTGCCACTTCTTCTTTTCTTTTTTGGGGGGTTGCAATCCGAAATGATTTTAAGTTTCTAATTACAAATCAACTCTTGAAGTTACACACAAGATTTTCACATTACAGTTTTCACTACAAAATTGGAGTTGCTATGAAAAAATGCCCAAACCATACCAAAAAATACAAATCAGGAAGAAATTAAATTGGACAACCATGCAAACATTGGAAGAAGTGAGGGTCATCATACCTGAGCAGATGCCACCAGTGCAAGTGTGAGAAGAGACACAGACAACAAGACTTGTGAGCATATTTGATGAGCAGCCGCTGCTAGTGGACCTTGACGTGCAGCCATTGATGTTGCCAGTGTCGTGGTTGTGCGCAGAGCAAGTGCTCTCCCAAGAAGGAAACCACCTAAAAGAGCACAAGATTTGTAACTCAACTCTAAAAAATATGTCCACATTTCCTGGAGAGTATAGTAAAAAAGGTGAAGCAGAGAGACACAGGTTTAGCATAAATTCTAATTATGAGAAGTGTGTGTGCAATCATTCTCAAGGGGCAACCCAAGTCAATCAGGAACAAACTAAACATAATATCCTGCTTTTGGGAAGCAAAATTAGTATAGAAAAACATTTAACACATGTTTGCTTAAATAAGAGACAAATAATGGCCTACAATTGTCATTCAGTTCTACTATTACTTTCACAGCACAAAACAGTCGATGAATTCTACAGCTTAGCGCAGGAATATCAAATAAGAGTACCAGTAACTTGGCATACCAAATTGTCTCACTCCCACATGTTGCGGCTTTGAAGTAACATTTACAACTAACTACATAGCACAATAATTTTCTTTTCTCCCAATGGTTCCTAAGCTTGAAGCACAGAGAAACTAATTTACAAGTAAAAAGAAAGAACTTTAGAAACTCAGAAGCTGAAGTTATTTAAGCTTCATATGGTGCAATCCAAAGAGGTTCTTCCCCCTGAATTTTGCAACTCTGTAAAAAAGTCATAATCACCAATATGTCACGCTTACAATGATTCAGGAACTTCCATGCATTTGGTAATGGTGTTATCTTTACTCAGGAGCATTCCTAAGCAGACTGAAAATATTCCAGAGTACATGGATATTACTCAAGAAAACTTTCAGAATAGTTATTTGCGTTCATGCCCCTTACCCTTACAGAGAAAACTACAAGCAAATAGTGGCAAATAGACAAATTACAATATCAGACTTTGGCAACTTGCTATGTTACGAGACTTCAGGCGGCTCAAGAGCTGACACGTGGATAGTTATAGCCGTTATGGACCTCAAAGGGTGCCAGGAGAAGGAGCCGAGGAGTTATGACCTAGAAGAGCCGAGTGTACACTGGTTGAGCCCAGCATTAAAGAGGACATGACAACTCATTAATTACGATTTAACAGGGCTGTAATATCCCAACCCATCGTTGAGTGTACAGTAGTTATAACATAGAGTTTTATATTGTGAATCTTCTTAAACTTGAACTATTATGTTGAAAAGTCTCTTCAATATAAAATGTTAGTATAAATAAATAATAATCCTTAAAAGAGAGTTTTGAAAGATCTAGAAGAATTCGGAAAGTTCTAGAATAATCGAGAAGTATCCGGAAAGTTCTAGAACAATCTAGAGAAGTCTAGAATATTCCGAAAGGACTTAGAAGGTTAAAGAAGACTTTAGAATATCATAGATGAGTCTAGATATTTGTGGAATTATCATGTGTAAAATAAGCTTGAAATCTAGAAGGATCTAGGAAAGGGGAGATGGTAGAATATTCTAGAGAATCTCCCCTAAAAATATCACATGTCAATACTCTCTAGAATAATCCTTAAGTGCCTATAAATAGGGCATTTGAGGATTAGATTAAGCACACAAATGCACAAGTAGTCTTCCACTTTCTAAAAAAAATAGAGAAGGAAGGAAGAACAAGTCATCAAAGGAGAAAAGAAGTTGTAAAGGCATCGATAACATCTAAATCTACTTCGGGGAAACAAGCAACATACCATTTGGACTTGAGGTGAGTGGGTTGACATGCTACGTATTTTCGAAAATTCCCCGTATCCCTAAAACATTTTTAAAAACAATACATCATGCTTGTTCATTCCTACTTTTACAAAATATTTTACTAAGTGTCTAAATACTTGTGGCATACGATTTTCTTTGCTTTGATTAAGTCTTTTGTGAAATGTTGTGACTCAATCACTTGTTTATATGGTGAGACTTTATGATGGTGAATGAGGTTATGATTAAAAGTCCAGGGAAATTATTCCTCCGTGTGCGGGTGACTCTGGCCACTAGGGAACAGATCCGGTGGAGGTTGAGGTGACCCTAGTGCTCAACGGTTGAAGGAACAGTGTCTGGTGCGTCTTGGTGACCTTCACCGGATCGTCTTAGGGAACAGTTCCCGGGCACTAACCGTGGTGACCCTAAGTATGGTGTTGAATCCAACCTTGAGATTTTCTAACATTTGGTATGGTTCCCAGATATCGTACAAGTCCTTACCATTATGAGGAGATGATATAATTTATTATTATCACAACGTTTTTAGTTATTGGTTTGGTTTATGATTATCTATCGTATGCCGTACATATTTTCTTGTTATCAGTTATTTTATATTCCCTGTTTTCAAAATGAATATTACTATGTGTGCCTTACCATTCACTGGGCTTTAAGCTCATTCCGATAGATTATATTTTTTTTTCCAGGTGAAAGACTGGAGTGTCACTAGCAGACTCTGGAGACTTTTGTGGACTTGATTGTATTGTGACCTCCATAGGATGTTTTTGTCCATCATCTTATGTAGATAAGTATATATGTATACAGGTACTTTATCAGTAGACGCTCGGTATGTATGAGCAGTAATCCTCTTTTGTTCGGGTTATGTAGACATGATACTTAATAATACAAGGATATTTTGTGTGTGTATTTTCTCCTAATGGTAATATTGATGATAGGCTTACATGTTCCATGGATAAGCTCCATGGTTCATGGCCGGTCATATCCCTCGAATCGGGGTGTGACAAGGGCTATTAATGAACCTCTATGCCCTCAAGACCAACGAAAACAATCATCATTACAAAGTATTAATTGCTATTGTGCCGACCCGATGTTCTCTGCATACCCCAAGGTGCTTATTCCCGAGCAGTAAATGCTCGGACGTAAGTGTCAAGCACCGATCAGATGTATTTAATGACCAAGAATAGGGCTATAAACATAGTTGTTAGTATCGTACGATACGTCACGATACAGGCTTGAAACGATACGGATCGTAATTATGTATCATTTTTGCGTTGTGTCAAGCACCGATCAGATGTATTTAATGACCAAGAATAGGGCTATAAACATAGTTGTTAGTATCAGTACGATACGCGCAAAACCTGATTTTTTTTTTTTTTGGAATGACGTCGTTTTGACTAAAAGAGACTGATTTTTTATCCCTGCCACTCAAAACGACGTCGTTTTGAGGCTAGGGTTTAGAAAAATAAATAAATCCCTCTTTTTCCTCTCATTCCATCTTCGGTGTCTTCCTTCTGGTCTGGGTGTTCTTCACGAGCAACGACCGACGACCGACGACGAAGACACAAGACCAGCAAGCCCAGTCTAGCCCCGACGAAGGCACAAGAGCCATCGACGAAGGTAGGAATCTTCCCAAATCTTGTTCTCCGTCTTCTCTCTTCTTCTTGTTCTTCATCGACGAAGGCAGCAAGCCCAGTCTAGCCCCTCTCTGTTCTTCTGTTCTTCATTCAGGTGTCCATCGACGAAGGCAGGAATTTTCCCTCTCTCTTCTCTCTGTTGTTGAGAACGAAGAACCCAATCTAGCCCCTCTCTCTCTTCTCTTTGTTCTCCATATTCTCTCTCTTCTCCTTATTCTTCATCGACGAAGCTGCCTTGGATCGAAGCTGCAACTACCTTCTTCTTCTTCCTTCTCCAGCTAGTCCAGCTAAACTTGTGCATTGTAAGTAATTCTGTTAATTTATTTACAAAGCCAAATATTTTTTTTTGTATAAAAATTCTGAATCTTGATTAATTTTAATTTTGTGAAACAGTGGCATCACCAACATCCTATTTTCATTATTTCATATAGAAATGACTAAAAAACTTGCTAATGATCCCACATGAGAACATTGTGACAAAGTAGAAGGATCGAGGTTGAAATTGGTGAAATGCTATAGTTGGTGGAGTATTAATGAAATGCTATATTTTTATGAGTGTATGACTTTTTTTCAAAGGTATATATATTTTATTATTTATTTAAAATTATACAGTATCTTATGATACACGATACGATACAATATTTGTATCTTACGATACGCCTTCCGATATACGATTTGATAACTATGGCTATAAATGCTTAGTGTGCCCCGAGCTAGCATGCGATCACCCGATTAAATCAGTCTCGTGAGAATCTGAGAGAAAAATACCCCTTATGCATAGATAAGAGTGAGCCATTAAATGTTGAGATGAGACTCAAAGCTCCTGCACTCATTGCTAGTCCAGGTATAAGTACCCCTCACAAAAATAAACAAAGGTATACAATTCATAACGAAAAAATACATTGTGCTGGGCTCTAACGCCGACTGACTTAAACTTCGGAGGAGATTAGTCGAGTATTCACCCGGTCCCTTTCCTAACCTTTGACTGTTTCAGTTTCATCATTCAGCGAATCGTTATCTCTATTCATTGCAGGAGAAGGGGCCGACATGTCCCAGGAAGCTACAATCGTGATTGAAGTAATACATTTTTGCACAGTTGATAGACCAACATATAATTCACTACGGGCCGACCTCCAGAAGGTCTCGCAAGCCGTGAAGGTGGAGAAAAGCAAGTATGGGGGGCAGTCGTCTAAGAAACCTCGGCTCGACGCCGAGACGATCCACTTTTTCGATGCCGACCTGGGTGGGATAGTACTCCCACATGAAGACGCTTTGATAATAACCCTTCGGATCGACAAGTTTGATGTCAAGAGGATCTTGGTAGACTCGGGTAGCTCGTCCAAAGTGATGTACTACAGCCTCTTTCGCAAAATGGAGTTCATTCAAAAGGACTTGAAAATAGTGAGGTCCCCCCATGTGGGTTTCAACGGTTCCAACACCCTCCCCATCGAGAAGATCACTTTCATGATTACTGCTGGGGTCGTTGCCATCCCAGTAGAATTCGTGGTAATAGACTTCGATTCTCTATACAATGCCGTCATGGGCAGTACATGTTTACACGCAATGAAAACGGTGCATTCATCCTATCATCAGAAGATTAAGTTTCCCACTTCGAAGGGTGTCATGGAGATTTGTGACGATCAAACATCATCAAAAAACTATTTTTATGCCGCAGTAAAGACCG